AGTTTTTTTCATCTCTCTCAATTAACATCTGCCGTATTCCCTAAACAGACTGGTCCTCAGCTATGGCTGAACTGTTCAGACTGTCACTGGTGCTATAATTTTTTTATATACACCGTTAAATTTCCCCTATTTTTTTATTAAGGAAATCAATTATTCAATAAACAATTTGTGTTCAGGGTAAATGGCTAGTTCTTAATCGAGATAACAATGGAGATATCAGGTTTCTAATTTGCAGTAAATTTGCGGCTATTAAAAGCGACGTAAACATAACTTCGAGCTTCTTGGCCGTTGGTCGTTCAAACTTATCATTTTCTGGATTTATGTTAATAAATAAGACAAAGAAGGATAGTTCTTTGTGTCTGTTACAAGAATTGTCGAGAACTTACGATGACAGGATCAGGATTGAAGTAACAAGAACTCCTTCGATCCGCCATATTGGCGACCGCCAAGGTCACTCGAAATCGGCCTTCTCGATATTTTCCAAAGTAAAAAGAATTGGAACTTTTAACATCCATTTCGATGTTAGGACTCTTAAACAAGCCTGCAAGCCAAATCTCAGCAAAATCGGCGAGGTACCGTGGCCGCGACCTTTTTACATAGCTCGAAAATAACTGAGTATGACTCTTAAATAGCAGATAGAGTAAGACAAGGCATTTTACCACTGCCGCCATATTGAAGATTCCTAGTTAAAGTAATTTTCATTGCTGTCAAACACGAACAACCATTCTCTTAAAAGGCACATTTCGTGCTGGCATATAAGACGTAATTTGCGAGACCCGCATATACGCGCATTTTAGCACGCGTATATATGGGTCCTTGTAGGACGCGTATATTTGANTCGTACTGGCATATACAACGTAATTTGCGAGACCCGCATATACGCGCATTTTAGCACGCGTATATATGGGTCCTTGTAGGACGCGTATATTTGAGCATTTATTTCGCATATCCCCACGCTTGAATTTACGCAAATATGTGGCCCTTTAAAAATGTGTATATACGCGATCTAAATGGTCGTATATATGAGCTTGAAGCCCATACGTAACGTATGTAAACAAGTATACGAGGCAGAAAAACCCGCGTATACCCTGTCGTAATTTTGAAACGAATGGCCAACCATATTGAAACACAAAGGAAACTTAAAAAAACTATTTCAATTTGGACCTGAAAGCCTCGGATCGATGTGAGAATATTGATATATCGAACGTGGCCTGTTGGTTGTGGTTTTGAGGTTTTCTCGCCTGTCCTGAACTTGATAGTGATTGGTTCAGTACCAAATTAACTTTTTGGAATCAAATCCAAATGTTCAAGGTTTTCTGAGTTTCACAGTGATAAAAAAAGCGATTGCATAAATTTAAAATCCACTGTCCAAATTCCTGAGTCCTCACATTTCCAAATTTT